AAATGCGTCTCGGCACTAAATTTACCAAATTTTGAAGGATCTCTAAGGATATCTCTTATCTTTGTTTTTTTTAACGAAATTTTATTTTTTGTTTTAACCCACAGACCCCAAAAGTGACTTGAGGCACTTATTACATTATGGACAATTCCAACAAAAATAATTTAAAATTTTTTTTAGCAGTAAAGAATAGTTGCTAAATTATGTATAGAAGCGTTGAAAGCTCTCAGCAGCTTGAAACGGTAATTTTTATTTACTATACATATACTTGCACAGAATATGTGTATTTCTTTTGATTATAAATGTTAAAGTATAAAACTAAACCAAACCAAGTTAATGTGGCATTAAAATAAAATTACAGATATGCAAATATTTGGTCTTTTTTGCGGTGTAAAACAAACTACTTGACCAATCTAAAAGACCCTAGTCCACGACTGCATGTATGCTGAACATAATCTACAAATTTGAAGGAAATCTGCTAAGTCGTTTTTGAGAAATCGTGCTGACCAGTTGGAAAAACGTGGTTTTGAGAAAAACACAAACGAAATAATCATTGCAGGAGATATCTGCACTGAAGAGTATATATTTTCAATGATGTAACTTTGAAACGACATCGAATACCATTAAGATCCTTTTAAAAACTTATAGTACATAAGTTAGGGAAGCAATTTATTTAATCACATAGGTCATCCCCCTAATCAAAACGGTTATGGGAGTAAAAACCAAGTGGTCTAGGTGCCGCATATCCACAGCGTGACAAAGCTCCCTCCATTGCTCACTGTTTTAGGCCTTTTTGCTTTAAAAATATTACAAAGACTTTGTTTTTAGGATCATATGCGGAGTAATTGCACTGATTTGCAGCGGAATAAGGCTTCAGAGAAATATTTTTGCTTTAATTTCCCGGACCCCAACATTCGATGATTTCTGGTGCTGTCCAAAGGAGTCCGGCGCCTTTAGCTGTTGTTGTCCCTAAAAAGTTCGTCTTTGTTTCCCGCCTTAATCTTGACATTTCCGCAAACGTGGTTAAGACCGAAAATTCTTAATTTTCAAAATTAAGTTTTAAAATTGGCATTTCCTATGCACTTTATGCTAGGGTCCTTGAACAGGCCGTTGTTCACGAATCCGTAAACGATAATAATCCTCGGGCTCGCGGGCCTCAGTCTCTCCTAACTGGGCCGCTAAAAAACAAAGATATTCGTTTTTTTCTGCATCATCAGAATGACCCTAGCTCACTTGGCAAAATTAGCAAATTGTGCCTCTTTCGATGCCAATGTAACTTTTTACGGAAACATGGCTTAAATACTCGGTCTCTGACTGCGAAATACTGGCCGGAAATTATGTCGTCGAACTTGTTGAGGTTCGTATCCAAGTTCATGATTATTTTATTGATGCCTCATGCTTCATCTTCAGCATTTCATCATTCATATTCATCATTCATTCAACTCTTATCATTGGTGACTTCAATGTACGTTCCATTTCTTGGATACCATTGCATCCAATGATTTAATTCACGGTCTGTTTGACTTTTTTTTTATCAGGGCCATTGAATTATGTAATTTTAAAACCTATTTTTGATAGTGCTTATCACCACACACTGGAGGTAATTCTTAAAGCTTCGACTGATTCACAAATACGAACCTATTCTTATCTTATTCGATTTGACCTTTTTGGATTCTTCAGATGATTTCTTAAACATTATTGAGCCTTTCTACGATACATACTACTCAGTTTTTGACATGCGTGTCCCTTAATTCCCTTTTCATAAAGTGTTGGAGGGGGGGCGGCTCTAACTCTTAAATGCACTCGATAAATAATAACATATAATAACAATAATTTCCTGGAGTCTCCCAGGGTTTCTAATCGACTTTCTTATCTAATAAACTTAAAGTCACGACTTTTTAAATAATATAGTAGGGCTGCAATAGACTATTCGAGATATTTAACTGCTCGTTCTAATTACTGAACTCAAAATTCGGAATGCTATAAAAACCAAAGCAATTTTTTTGCGTTTGTAAATTGAAAACGAAAATCTTAAAAATTGTATTTTTTTTTTCCTCTTAATACGCATCCTTCTAATGAGCTTCTAATGAGTCTGCTATCGCAAAATTCTTTCAATCAGTAAGTATAATACTGAAAACTACAGAGGGATAGCAAAACTTGGTGCGTTTCAGAAATTATTCAAATTTTTAATTACTAATCAGCTTCAGCACCAATTTAGTTCAATAATGTTCCCTTGAATGTCCTTTCTGAAACGCGAGTTTTGTGCAATCGTAAGAAATGCGTTCAAAAATAACAGCGAAATCGACGTTATCTTTACAGATTCGGTGAACCATCAGTTGCTGTTGAAAAAACGTATACTTTTCCCAGTCACGTTGACCAAGTGGAGCTCAGCTTATTTATCAAACCATACTCGAAGAGTTGCTTTCAAGGGTCCATTCTCAAACCTTGTTCAAATGACTCCCGGTGTTTCTCAAGGGAGCCACCTTGGACCACTTCTGTTTGGCATTTTCATAGACGACTTGCCCCCAGTAGCCCCCTATTCTCCTGTCATGATGTATACAGGTGATGTTAAGTTATACCTCTTTCGAATCCTGATTCTCATATGCTCTTGCAACCTGTCTTGAATAACATGCAGTCCTGGTGCATCCATAATTTGCTGTTTCTCAATAAGTCGAAATGAAACTTTATATCGTTCCCCCGGAATACTTGTTTCCATGCCAATTGAACGTATCTATTCAGTAAGTGATATTGGAGTTCCATTTAACCACAACTTGAGCTTCTCCTATCCTATCCTTTAAGTTAAATAAGTTTTGGTAGTATGATTCTTTCTACTTTTTATGTTCGCTTAATAATGACTGTTATCCCTTAAACTTTAATACTGATTAGATCCTAGGACAGCTATCCTTGCCTCTGCCCACCTGATGTGAGTCAGAGCATATCGTCAAAAAACAGTCCTTATTCGGTCAGAGGTAAGGGTATTATTTATTAATTATAATGGCAGATATATACATTTTGTTTGCATCATTTTGGGGCTTATTTACATTATATGGAATTAAAAGTGAGTATGGAAATAAAGTATGTACATCCATACAATTCTCAAACTTTTGCGTTTTGTTTGCGGCTTCGTCAACTTGTTTTTGTTATTGTTGCTGCTCAGCTGCTCAGCCGCTTTTTGGTCTTGGTAGCAAAAAAAGCAAGAAAAACACCGACAAGAAAAGTAAGAGTGAGATAGGAAAATGCCACTCAAACTCAACATGCCAAATACAAACACTGAACAGAAACAATAGCAAGAGCAAAAACAAAGGCTGTGCCACAAGGTGGGGCATGGCGGCATCCCTGGGCATATTGAAGGCAGCAGAAAGTGTAAACAGGAAACGTGATATTTGACAGATGAGTGTAGATATTTAGATACTACTTATGCCTTGGGAAGCCACCACCACTGAAACCAATCGTATTGGTCCACCCAGTAGCTCCGCTCCCTACACATGTTCCCGCTACTGGACTCCCCGGTCTTTCCTTCTAAGGAGTACACTGAAAAAAATAGAGAGACCAGCTGAAAAACCACATGTTATTTCATAATATGTAAGTTATACCAAAATTATATATTTTATCTATTTCAATTCCCTTTCCCTGAGGAGGACTTTTGGCTGTTGCGCCGTTTTGTTTCTTGCTATATTTTTTATTCCCAACATTTTCGTGTGCATTCCGACGGATTAGAAATAAGTTTTTGTTTGCCGTGCATTGAATTCCCCGGAGCGTGCCAACTCCCCGGCTCTCGGCAGCTCTGGTGTCTTATTGATTTTCTGCTACAGCTTTTACTTGCCGCAATTTTAAGTGACGCACACAGACACTTCACACTCACATAGAGAGCTGTGGAAGATGGAGACGGGGCAGAATCGCACAAAGAGAGAGCATGATGAAAATTGAGGCAGCAAGAAGGCAACGAAGCCAAGATAACTCACAGAGAGAGAGAGAGAGAGATGAAGCGAAAAGAATCAAAGAGAAGTAAATATTTTGATGGATTAATGCCTTTTCGCCATTCTCTTTCCCCCTCCATCTCCGTCTCTTGCTATCATTTTTTTTCGACAGATAAACTAACAGTATATTAACATAATATTACTTTTACAGTAAAACCGTGATAGTTGGCCGATATTTTCAACTGAAAACAGCTGTTCCCATGCAAACTGCTGAAAATATCTACCAACTATCGCGATACTTTGGCGATATTTTCGGTAATTCAGTCATTCAGTCGTCGGAGGAATACCCAGAGTAGTTCAGTCTATATATATATTTAAAATTCAAATATGTTTTAAATCGGAAATATAGTTTTCTCATACGATTTAATAAAAATATTGTTTTGAATTTGATCAAAAACAAATAATTAAATACCATGAAATAAGTAAATATATACTGTTACATATCTCCTAAAGGTTGTTCTATTCATCTGACCAAAATATTCGAATTTAAACGATCTAATTGCAAACTGGAAAGGTAAAGATACTTCGAAAATTGCATCCTTATTGATATACCCGGTGTTTATATAATTAAAGGTGTTGAAAACTAGTACAAGCAGAGAATGTGTATCTGTATTTAAAAGAAAGCCTAAATAATCTTATATATATATCATAGAACATATTTCATCATTAACGGATTTAGACCAATTTGAGTATAATCAATAAATCAAACATATTATTTAAAACTCGCGCAATGAGTCGACCTAGAACTGTTAAAGTGTTCGATTAGCAAATAGGCGATAGTTACGGTAATAATATTTTCGATTAAATAAAATCTCCCAGATATATTTGGACCAATCGGCTAACTTACACAATAAGTGCTTATAAGTATCCATATATCTTCAGTCAAATGTGCACTTGGCACCTAATGTCTGCCAGATTGATAAACCCTATCGATTAAAAATCGAAACAAAAAATTGTACACTTAATACTCGGGTCGAGTGCAATAAATCAAGGAAATAAAGTATGGTATGGAAATGAGTTTGCATTTTACTCACAATCATAATAGTCGTATCGATCCGCTTCGCTGGGATTATTGCTACCCATGATTTTGGCAAAAACTGTGAAAGAGAAAAACATATAAACAATGGGGTAAGAAAGAAAACAATTTAAGAGACACAGCCAAAATGTTTAAAACAGCGCCGGCGAAACGAGGGAAATCGCAGCAATTCAATTAAAATCGCTGTCACAGGCTCAATTTGAAAGCCAAGGAGATGGAAAAGGGGGAAAAAGGACTGAGTGAAACGGGGCGGAGGTTGAGGCAAATGAAAATAGACTCTAAAATGTTTAAATGGAAATGCAGTTATTGGGCAACATAAATACATTTTTTAAGTGGCACGTTCTGACCGTTAACGCGACAGTGAACAGTCCGACGGAAACTTAAAATTAAAAAAAAAACTACCCTTTAAATCAGAGGTACCATTGCTCTTACAGCTCACCTTGTATTGAGGACTAACGACCTAAAGTAGGAATAATAAGTTTTTAGGTATTGGGTTGGTTTTAATGAATATATGCACTGGTTTTTAGGTAATTTTTACCTTAAAATACTTATGTATATATATATTTTTAATTTTTTTTTATTTTTTACTTTAAGTTCTTAATATCTTGAGCATATTGTGTACAAGTTTAACATCGATCATAGCTAAATTGACGAAGTTAAGCAGAGTTGAACGAAGGTCGTTTGATGTTCAATGTAGTATGAGTAATGTAAAGCGCTCTCCTGAAAAGTGTCATTTTCAAAACGATAACTCAAAATATACAAAGCCAATCGATTTTAAATTTGGAACATATCTTTTTAAACTCATTTTACAGGTCGGGTTTTTTTACTTTTATGTTTTATTATTTTTTATTTAACAAATCATTTTATTTTTTAGTCAAAAGTCGGGGTTTTGACTTCTAATTTTGATATAAAAAATATTTAAAAATAAAAATGCCAAAGCCAAGTTTAAATTTGCAATTAATGAACATTTTGAAGCATGTTTAGATATTTAAGTGACTCACGTTTGGCGATGGTCCTGCGGACTCGTAGGAAGCAGGACTTGGAGCGGGAGAGGTGTGCAAGATCCTCCGGATAAGATCCGTTCTGCAAGCAAATGATCGGCGCCGACTGGACTACGCGGCAGTGGCTGCGGCTGTGACTGCGACGGCGACGTTCCAGCAGGGGAATGGTCACAAAGTTCGGCACTGGCTGCAGTTGTTGCAGTTGCTGCACCTGCAATTGTTGTGGGTCACCTGATGCCTCAACTTCCGTTTCCGGTTCTGTGTTGCCGTTATGGTGATTGTTGTTGGAGATGCTATTACTATTGTTGTTGTTATTATTATTGCTACTACTATTATTGTTATTATAGCTGGCGTTGGTATTGATGATTGTAATGACGTTGACACTTAGCTCCCCAGAAGCTGAAAATTTAAAAATGTAATTAATTAATTCATTTATTATTATACTGAGGCGGTCAATTTATTCGTAGACAGTCAAGCGGCGATAAGATCCGCGCAAACATCAGTGGTCAGTTCCAAAAATGTACTGGCAAGCAGGGAGATATCTACTGGGTTTCCAGCCACCAGGGCATAGGTAACGAGACCGAGGACGAACTTGCAAAGAAGGGAAGGCAAAGGACTGGCGAGTGAAAGAGCAGAAACGTCCCTGTCTCCCTAAGAACGCTCCAAAGTGAGCTAGAGGCGCGGGCTGACGCAAGCGCAAAAAGCAGGTGGAGGAGTAATTCCACAACCTTCAGAATATCAAAAGAAAGAGTGGATTATTATATAGTTTTTTTAAGAGAGTTTTCCCTAAAAAGTTTAATTATTGTTGTCAATTATTATATAATTTATGTTACAGTTACTTTGTTTAATGTATATTATTTGAAATCCATAGAAAATATTTCATTCTGTCTTTTGATTTTTAATATTTTAAAAAAGATTACAGTGGTTCGACATTCGTTTGCCAAATTGGAAGGAGTACGTTTGTTAAGGAAGATCATATACGAACTAGATGGGTATCTAGATGTCCAACTAGATACCCATCTAGTTCAGGCATGCCCAATCGACACCTTTAGTACTTTAGGGCATTAATTACATATTAGCTTAAAGGGAAACCATTATGATGTGAAAGCTTGTTTTGAATATTTTTCGCTTTACACTGCCATTGCATCTTTTTCAATCATCTTTTTGTAAATAATTTTATTGTAAACGAAAATGCAATGAGGAAAATTTACGGCAATGTGCCAAGGCGCATTGGTGTTTTCTAACCTCCAGGCTGTCATGTAAGTGTCAATGGAATTAAATTTTGTTGTTTTTGATTACAGGGATGGCAATATGAGTACAGAACAAGAAAGGAAGCTAACTTCGGCACGCCGAAGTTTGTATACCCTAGCAGATATTATTTCATTACATTTTACCTATACTTATTATGTTGAGAGTTTGACAGTTACAGTTTTACATTCCCAGTTTTACATTTTCCCTACATCTACCGATCGATTTATATGGCAGCTATATGATATATTTGTCCGATTTTCATAAAATTTTTAACAAAATTCTTAACTAATAAAATAAGCTTATATCTTAGAGTATATAAAAATAGGTTGAAAAACAGTCAAGGTATAATTTTTTTTACTACAAATTTATCGAAAATTTTGTATGGCAGCTATATGATATAGTCGTCCGATCCGGCCCGTTCCGACACATATAGCAGTGAGAGTATATAGAAGACTATATGCAAAGTTTCATTCAGATAGCTTTAAAACTGAGGACCAGTTTGCGTAGATACGTACAGACGGACAGACAAACGGACAGACGGACATGGCTAGATCGACTCGGCTGTTGATGCTGATCAAGAATATATATACTTTATAGGGTCGGAAAGGTCTCCTTCACTGCGTTGCAAACTTCTGACTGAAACTATAATACCCTGCAAAAAAAAAACGTATATTGGTACCCAAAAGAAGCGCACATCTTCTCGAAAAGATTGTTTCCATAGACCTAAAATAATGTTCTAAAACAACGAGCTGGTGATGCTGATCAATTAGTAGTCATAAGTAACGACCAGATTTCGGCATTATTTGATTTTGACATGCATGTGTATCTATCGGGATATTTTAAACTTTAAGGTTGGTTATAATAGCTACAAAGTTGGTTGGCGTTGCCAAAGATACCCCTTATTCAAGCTATTTATTTTCTGTATATATCTATGCTTGCGCCACTAATATTATTTACAGGGTAAGAAATACACTAACTTTACTACGGTTAAGACTCTTAACTCTTAACTTAAGAGTCTAGGGATTTAGGGCATCACGCCGAGCGGTACCTAGCATTACTTCACCGGCGCGGAGACCCTAACTTCGTCATCTCCTTCCGCCTCTAAGCCAAGGCCCTGAGTGCTCGCTGCAAATGTAGCTGCCGCTCACCAACGGCACCAGGACTTCGACGCTGATCGCGGACCCTGCTACTGCCTCCAGTTTCTGCCTCTCACAGCCGAACCTGTGGTACTCAAATAGGACGTGCTGCGCGTCCTCTATGAAGGCAGTCGTGACCGCTTAGTGCCTGGGTGAGTAGAAATCCACCTGTTCATGCGACCTCTCTATCCATTGCGCCAAGTCTGGTATGAGGGTGTGCGTCCATCGGCCCTTTGATGAGGAGTCCCAACCATTCTGCCAGCTCTCCATGCTTCTCCTCCTGGCGGCAGCCTTGACCTCGGGTCTGGTCAGCTGCGATGTCTCCCTGGCATGCGAGGCTGCGTATATCTCCTTCCTTTCCCTTACCAACTCAGTGAGTGGAACTTGCCCGGCTTGACCAGCGCCGCGTCTTCCAATACGGTCCGGAACGCATACGCCATACCGTCGTTACCTGTCTTGGCCCTCTTGCGTTCAGCAGCATCTTGGATAACGCACCTACGTGTTACTGATGTCCAGGATAACTACCGGACTTTGTTCCTTTTTTCCACCTGGAATCTGGTAGCCTCGTTTGCCATTTCGATAACCGTTATGATGGCGTCCTGGGCTGACCGCCCCTTTCTGAAGCCATGCTGCTCCGGGGAGAGACCACTATCTGCTTCGATAGCTTCGCTCAGCCCGGTTGACATCACTCTCTCAAAAACCTTCCCTATCGCATCCAGCAGGCCATGTGGCCTTTAGTAAGGCGCTCTCCTGGTGGCTTGCCAGGCTTGGCAGTCATTGCCTGTCGGGGAACGTACCCTCCTGGAGGCACTTATTGTTCAAGCCGGCCACATTCGTCGCTCTGTTCGGGATCGCCCGAGAAAGGCTCGCGACCTGCTGTCCACTCGGGAACAGGGCGCTGACTATGCCCTCCAGCGCTTCCGGATCAGTTGGGGCTTTGTCCCCCGCGTTGAGCCGCTTAACCGCCAGTTCCGACTGCATCATCTAGCGAGAAGCCCACAAGGACATTTGCAACGGTCTGAGGCCTAAAGGTGTCTTGTCGGAACGCCCTTCCTGGCGGGGTGGATGTGGAGAGCCTCTCGAACCTCATTCCGTGCCTCAGCGTAGATCCTGATCCGAGCTCTGTCCAGCTTCTAAGGCTTTCGGAGGGGCAGGCGATCGGCTTAGCTTTCCGCTCCTCCTGAACGCTGCTGCCTCCTCGTCGACCGGCGCTTCACTGGGTTGGCAAGGCGACCTTCTTAAGCCCGAACCCAAAACCCGAACATGACCACGGGATTTCCCCCTAACTCTGCGCAAGGGTCGGTCGCCGACGCACTGTAGCCCCTCTAGAAAAAACACCGTTTCAAAAATAAAAGAAGTCGGTGCTGCAAAAACGAGCATATGAGCATTCAATGTTGAACTTTGTTTCTATTTTTGTATCATAAAAAGGCGGAAATTGGTTGACTTTCAGGTAATATTACACAAAAAGTAGATTACCTATCGTGCTACAGGTAAAACTGTTGATCGAATAATTGATAACTAAACTAAAAAACACTCGTCAAACTGTTTCTGAAGAACCGTTATCATGTATTTCGGATTTGACGGAGAACTTCCATCAGTTAATGACAGAAAATTTGATAAAAGATGTTGTCCCAGACTTTCTTTAAAGTCGGCAGTAGTCGGGTTAAGTAAAACATATAAACCACTGAGCCACAATCCAGTCCATGGGAAATAAAGTTTCTTCTAACACATGAAATTCTAGTATATACTTATACTGTTTTCCCACACTGTGTGAAACAGTTAGAATTTTTGGCGGATGTGGAACTCCGCTTGCCACAGAGTCCAATCCATCTTTCAGGATCTGATAATTTCTTATCGATCGCCTCATCCAAAACCTAAACAAAGATGTCTGCAACGGCTGCTGACTTATTTTTTTTTAAGATATTTCCAGGTACTTTGAATTATGGAAAAGTAAAATATTTTGTAATTAGAAAAATAATTATTGTTCGAACTTACAGTTGCAGAGTGTAGTTTTTTATAAATAACCGATTTAAGCTTCCCTTCTTAATCAAAAAATATATGCAAAAAAAAATTACGATAAATTCGTAAAATTAACAAACTCTTCTCACTCCGCCCTTGCCTCAGGGATGCTCCCCCATGTGGCTGGCTTATTTCTGGCTCCTGGCCAACTGGCTTGTGGTTTTGTTTCCCCCAAAGATCTTGTTGTTGTCGACTGGTGGTGTTTATTTGTTGCACATTTCGAGCCAACAAATGCCACACATGACACAATGAACATTCAACAGGTCAGATAGTCAGGAACAGATTCGAGCGGATTTTCTTTGACGTCAGCTTTGGAACGACCCCATATACCCAATGCAAACTTTTCTCGATACTACACAGGAATCACAAATAAAATAGGTTTATTTGGCACGCAGCCCACATCATTGTAATTTCCCATTCAACTCTCAATTAATTGCATTTGTGTGGCATTTTTAATGCACTATTGCAAGAGTCGTTAATTCTACTTCCCAAAAGTCTAGTGCTTGTGCATTGCGAGTAATTATTATGGGATCGTTTCGCTGGCCTGCTCTATAAAATGCTGTAAATTTGCGCCCCATAAAAAATGTGACAGAAAACCATAAACACGCAAGCAACTGTTTGAATTTTGTCAATATCATTAAAATGTGACAAGATATACGCTTAATGCAACTATATATATGAATGTGCATATCACTGTCGACGGTCGTCCCAGTAGTGACGATGAGCACCGAGAGTGTGCTCCAGGCACCTACTAAATATACACGCAAAATTTAAAATCTGACTTTCTGCCTACTAGGAGTTGGCCGGCCACTAACACTACTTGCCAGGCATGTCAGAACCATTTAAGAAAATCGTCCTAAACCTGGAAAAAATAGATAAAGTAACCCTTCAAAGTTGTATTTATGGCGACTTGCCTTGATTTATGGTGTACCCTTACAGGATCCGTCCATACGTCTGTCCGTCCGTTCATGAACGAATAAAAGCTGGAAGAGG